AAAATTTTTCTCTATAAAATTGCTCCATACACACGTGCCCTTCGTCAGTAATATGGTGCAATGTACACTCCGGCGTGACACGGACCAATAAACAAATCACCAACAAGGACTTCATCAATAAATTCACACTCCCCAACTATTCCCCGTGAACTTGACTGTTGATGGATGGGTTTGGAGCTTTTGGTGAATTTATCAACAAAGGCTTTGTTAGTAAATTCATAGTCCCCAACCCTCCCCGTGAATTCAACTACTAATATTTGTGCCTTCAACTTTCGGTACACTTGTCAACAATATTCTCATCGATAATTGGATATTGCCAACATTACTCTTGTCAGTGATCACGTTGGTCAATTTGCATGCTACAACTTCACAAAGAAGATCAGCTTTTTATGGTGGCAATGTGGTTTTCGTCAAGAAGGGTCACCTCTAACCACCCCAAACCCCCTTGCCCTTTCATTTTGGTCTTCCTCCTCTAGCATCTTGCTTTCCTTTCCTCTGTTCTTCTCTTCGAATACATTCTTCGTGGTCTTCCTCTTCCTACAGCAAGTAGTTCTTGCTTTCCTTTCCTCCATTCTTTCCTTCGAATCACTCTAGCATTTTTCTTTTTACAGTCACTACAAGCAAATGCATTTATACCGACGGAAGTTTTCCATCTGTATAGACCCATTTTCCGTTGGTATAGACCCCAGGGACTATTCCAACAAACTAACTTTCAGTCGGTGGAAACCTCATCAGTATAGGGTCTATACCAACGCCTAATCCATCTGTATAGACCCTTGGGGTCTATTCTGATGGAAGACCTGTCCATTGGTATAGACCCTGAAAAATCTTTAAAAAAAATTCTGTTGGTATAGACCCTTAACTTTACAAACAGATAATTCCATTGGTATAGATCCTTTTTTTTTTTTTTTACCAACCTTAAGAACAGTCTGGATCCAAACCAAAACCAAAATCGAAATAAGGTTCAATACATTTGCCAAGAAAAGCTCTGCAATCCATTCTTTTATTGGAACCACAAAACATAACTACTTTAAATCTTTTCATCAAAAAATATAAACCACACTAACCATTACTTTCATCTGGGTACAAAAAGCAAGAATTTCAGCATAGATCTTTAAAAGAAATTGTAGATCTTTAATTACTGTCATCTAAGTACAACATCAGTATAGATCTTTAAAAGAAATTATACCTACCAATATTCTAAATACATTCTTTATTTTCCATTAGTATACCAACAACTAACCTTAAAACAAAAGACATGGTCAACACATATAGCAGCTGCTGATGAGAAAGCATAAGAAGATGGTTCATAGAGGCTCTCCGTACCGCAGCTTCTTTAGCTACTTGAAGCCATCGTGGAGTTCCAAAATTTGTAGCTTCCCCATAATTAAAACCTAATTTGGAACAAAAAAAGATTCTTAATGGAAAATTAAGAACAAGAGGAAGGGTGGAACAAAAGTGACTTATTTTAATGGGAAAATAAAGAGACATTCACACAAACTTTTGTACAATTTCCAAGTTCTGGTTTAGTTATTGATAAAAATGCAATGAGTATGCATACCTATTGGCTGTTAGAAGTTATAACACCATAGTATCCTTAAAATTCTAGCAGAAGGTAAAAAGTATAAAGAAAATGTAAGCAACTCATGTGGCTGAATCCTGCATGGTATGCCCTCAGGAAAGTCACAACAAATTCACCAACATTCTGTACTAACCTAAAGTGAAAAAACCAAAATATACATGAATGGAACTTCAAGATAGAAAATGAGTACAAGAAGCAAATGCCTTGCACTCCATTCTGTATGGGGCAATAACTTTTAGCATAGCTGTGCATTTTGAAACCCTTAATGGAACATAAAAAAAGGTATCCTAGTATCATAAAAAAATAATAATAGCAAGAAGTAAATAAAGTAAAACGAGCATTTACTTTTTTGGATGCCAAGCAATGTTTGCAAACACGAACCCTATAAAGTCACCTTAATTATAAAACACTTGAAAGGCATGAAATATATATAGAAAAATATCTGAAGATATTTAAGAGGTTTATAAGGTAAAAGCTAAGATGCCAGCAAAAA